GGTCACCATCCCGTCCTTGTTTAGCACGACCATGCTCCGCTTGTAGCTCCACACGAGCTGCTTACCTGTATACCACAGCGTTGTCGAGGAACTCGCCAAGCCGTCGAGCCTCTTCGCCTTGGACGTGAGTGTGGTTGCCTCCGCCGCTGGCGTCGAGAAAAGCGCCTCGTGAGGAACGACGGGCGAGTCCGCGGAGGCTACCGGAGTCGAGCGCGCGACGAGCGAGTCAGCCGAGGCGACTCTCGAACTGCCTGAGCCCATGGCCTTTGAGGGGGACACGACCTGCAGACATTTCCGAGTGCAAGTTCGCCAGGGTTGTACCCCTAGGGTTGCACCCGGTACAGGGATTTGCCTGGACCTGATCCTAAGAGGAATGTGGACCACCCAGACTTGGGATATTTAGCGGTGGGGGAGAGGGGAAATGCTTGGGGAGGGAGTGGGTTTGGGACATGGAAAGGGGGCCCACTTTAACTCAACAAAAATCTCTCTCTCTTTAAGCTTTATCTCCGACCTCCACAGAGCAGTTGCAGGTGTCGCCACGACAGCAAGCGGATGCCTTCCTTCGGTCGATAGGGGCATCCAAAGAGGGGGAAGAGGAGCTGGGAATTGAGGAAGGGAGATGGGAGCGATGAGTATGAGCCCCTTTTTGTGGTTCTGTGTGTCGCTCCTGTGTGAACGCCACCGCCCAGAGAAGAGATTCAAAAATCTCTCTCTCCCATACTGTACTTACTGTAGTCTGTACGGCTCTATCCAAGGCATAGAGATGGGTAAAAGGAGAGGGTTGAACCCCACTTGCCCGATGAACCGGCGCGAAGTCTCTCTCAGCCTCGGTGGCGGCCGAGTGCGGTGGCGGCCGCGAGCGAGCCCACAGTGACGCCGAGCACAAACGCACACGCGACGCGGCGGTCTGGGAGCCGCACGACGGCATCATCCTCGTCCGGGAGCGAGAGGAAGATGCTCCAGCGGCCCTCCCCATCCGTACATCTGGTGCAGTGGCCCTGCCCCTGCGTGTCCTCCGCTAGCACGCAATCGCCAGTGCCAAATGTGCGCTTCTCGCCGCGCCCGGTTGTGACCTCGGTCTTGGAGTTGAGGCAGACGATGATTTGCCGCCGCGGCGCGTTGTGCCACGGAAAATCGTACGTGCCTTGGTGTAGCGGAGGTAGATGCCGTCGCACGGGATCTTGTCACTCAGCTTGCCGATGGCACCGCCGGGCTTGAGCGGGAAGCTCGCCTCACCCCAGAAGCTCTCCTTGCCGTCATCGTACAAGCGTATCATCCTCCACGCATCGGGGTCGTCACCGCTGTTCGGAGGGTGCTCCATATGCGGTTGTAGCAAGCAGAGGCTGATCGGCCGTGCTGCAAAATCAAACGGCTTAACTGTTTTCAGGCGACGCGGCGCGCGGCCAGGCCGGCAAACAACGCGGCCGGCAAAAGTTGCGCGCGGTTTCTTTGCTTTGGTTTCTTCTGTTGGTAGGTGTATTCTGTTCTAGGTTACTTCCTCGTAGAAAGTAAAATTCTTTTTCGTTTCGCTCAAGAACTCGCACCGCGACGGCAGTTCAGGTGCGGCAGCGAGAGAGAGAGATTTTTAGAAGCCAACAAGAAATGTGTCATTTTATAAAGAAAAGAAATGTGTCACACAGAGTGATTTGCGCTCGGCAGCTTGTCGACTACCAGCCGGAGCCGGAGTCGAACCT